GTGAGTTTTTATTATGGTGTTCTGTACATAACACTGTCTTGAGTATTTCTTGTAGGGCTGGTCTTGTCTTGGTGAATTCTCTGAGCCTTTGCTTGTCTGAGAATGTCTTTATTTGTTCTTCATATAAGAAGCTGCGTTTTCCAGGGAATAAGATTCTAGACTGGGCATTGTTTTATTTCAGAAGAGTGAGAATGGGGCTCCAGTCTCTCCTTGCTTGTAAAATCTCAGTAGAGAAGTCTGGTGTTATTCGAATTGGCTTTCCCTTGTATGTTACTTGCTTCTTCCGTCTTACAGCTCTTAGAAGGGCCTCTTTAGTTGATATTTTGGTCAGTCTGATGACTGATATCGTGACATCTTCCTGTTTGCATTGAATCTCCCAGGGGTCCTCTGAGCTTCTTGAAATTGTATATCGAGATTTTGAGCAAGGCCTGGGAAATTTTCCTCTATTATATCTTCAAATAGCTTGTCTTACCCTTGAGTGTTGTCTTCTTCCCCTTCTGGTAACCCTATGACCCTCACATTCGGTTTCTTCACATAATCCCACATCTCTTGTAGGCTTTGCTCTTTTCTCTCGTTTCTCTGCTCTATCTCTGTGACGGTTTTATTTAGTTGGAGGGTATTATCTTCAATCTCTGAGAGTCTTTCTTCTGTTTGATCTACCCTGTTCTTGAGACTTTCCACTGTATTTTGTAGTTCCCTGAATTGATTCTTCATTTCCAGGAGTTCGGTTAAACTTTTCTTCATTGTGTCTATTTCTTTAGTGAACTTTTGTTCTAGGTCCTGGAGGCTTTTTGTGGGTTTTTTGTGTTGGTTATTGAATTGTTCTTGCAGGTCGGCGTTCTTATGATCCACATACGAAATTCCTCCTCTGTCATTTTGGTTGCCTGACTTTGGTTGGTGCCCGTTTCTAGGGGGCTGGTGCTCCTCTTTGTGGGTGTGTTTTCCATTTGGTTCTTCATATTTCCGGAATTCCTTTGCTGATTTCTTCCCATATCCATCAGTTGTTTCTTTTCTTTAGGTTTTTGTTTGGGTATTCACATGCCTTGTTTAGTTTCTGAACTGGTAGGTGGTGTCTGTGGGTGAGATTCGACCACTCCCTGTATAATGAGTCAGTGGGTGCTGTGAAAAGGGTGTGCAGGATGTCCTCCCTGTCAGTGTATGGCATTTGCTTGGAGGAACAGGCTATGCTGTTGTTTTTGTGTCCTATTATCAGCTCTTGTTCCTCTGGGGAGACACTCTAGTGCCTCAGGTGGTCGGTGGGGCCCTGGGACTTCCAGGTGTGTCCTTTTCTGCTCCTCAGTGAAGGCTGGTCTAGGAGAGAGTCTGGGGGGGAGCTGGGTTGGGTAAGCCTGCCCTCAGGCACCACCAATGTCGTTAGCAGGGGTCAAAGTTCTGTTCTCTGCTTCCAGGCAAAGCTGTCAGAGAGGGGCTGGAATGGCCCCCCTCAGTCAGAGAGTCTGCGTGTGGGATGGGGCTGTCTGAGACCCACAGTCTGGAGCGGGCCTCGCTTCTTTCCACCCTCCCCAACTCCGCAGCTACTCCTGGGCCTCTGCCAGCAGGCCAGACCACATGCCACCAGGCCTCCCCTGGCTGTGATGCCAACGGGGACGTTTCCTGCACAGGAACGCCACCTGGGCTGGGCATACGGCCTCCTTTTGGGAGGAGGGTTGCCTTATAGGATGCTGATCTGCCCCTGAAGACACACACACTTCAGTAGGCTGTTCACGTATATCAGTAGGCTGTTCACGCTGGTCTTCTGTGCCCCTGGGCAATGCGAGACCTCGGTACACGGGATCTGGTCTGCAGGTCTGACCTCTGGGTCCAGAGTTCAAACTGTATCCCCACCACAGAGAGGAGTGCCAGTCCCAATTCACCCACAGGGAGCCCAAGCTGGGTCTATTTCTCTCAGCCTCAGGGTCTACACCGTTCTCCTGGGATCACCGTGCCAGCAGCACCTGGGAGGGCTGGCGGGTAGGGAGCTCACAATCTGAGTTCCCCTCAGTCAGCTGTAGGGTCCCAAAAGGGAAGGTCCCGTTCCCTGGAGGTGCCTCTGGCTGGTGGTTGTATTGTCTCTCTGGGCAGCCGCAGGTAGGGTCAGCGGAGGGGAGAATGAGGCAATATGGCGCCTGCCGCGGGGCTCGGGTCTGTGCACACAGACATGCCCCGCAAGATTTGGAAGCCTGGTGCCGCGTCCGCTACAGGCTCACTGCTAGCTGGCGGTGGCCGTCTCTGGGCTGGTATCCACAGGTCTCTCCACCCGCTTGGGAGCCCACCAGCAGTCCCAGATGCAGGGGAGGGGAAACGGCCTACCCACCTACCCTTCCCACTGGTCTCCGGGCTGCTCCGGCAGTCTCAGCTTCCAGTTCTCCTCCGCAGCCTCCTCCCGTGGAGTCTTCCGGGGTTTCAGGTACTCCTCCTTCCGGTCCTTGTCCGCTGTATGCTCGTCTTCTTTCTTCTCTTTTCTCATTTTTGCTAGAATCTGTCTTTTCTGCAGAGACACTCTGCCTGGCAGTGTTTCTCATCCGCCATCTTGATCCTCCCTCCTCTGAAAGTTCTTAATGGGATAATTTACATCATCTTTTTCTCATTACATCTTCAAAATCCAGTGTACTCGTTTTACACTGAAAGCACACCTCATTCCAATAAGCCCTATAAGTTCAGTTTATAGGGCTGTTTCACCACACCGACTTCCCAAAGAAAGAACCATGTCCTTCATTCCAACTAGCACATCAAACATCAGAAGTTCAAGGCCGTGAGTCTTACATAGATGTATTTATGTTGTGCTTTCATTACCTGTTACTAGGCACTGACATTGCTATGCGTGTAAAGATAAAAGAGCCCCAGGGAATATTGTCATTCATCTCATGCAACTCCAATGTCATGTGCATTTTTCCACAGATGGTGGCCATGGCTGAACAATTTAAAGAACCAAGCAAATGTCTCCTCTGCCTATCTTATCTTGAAAAACCCATGGTCCTCGATTGTGGCTTTATCTGCTGCCTCCGATGTATCAGCGCACTCCGGAAGAAGCCCAGTGGGGAAGGCGTCTCATGCCCCTCCTGTTCTGTGGTCACTCAGAAGAATGACATCCGGCCCAATTACCAGCTGGGGAAGATGGTTTCCAAAATCAAGGAGCTAGAGCCCCAGCTGAGAGCAGTTCTATACCAGAACCCAAGAATGCTGAAGTTCCAAGGTAGGGAATCTGTGCAACCCGCTCTCAGCCCATCAGTGACCCCGGACAAAGCAACTGTTGTCCCCTCTGAGTGACAGTTCTCACGTCTGAGCACAGATCAGAGACAGCTGGAGATTTTGAAAGAAATATAATATTTAGGTCACGTCCTCGCCCTGTGCAGCCAGGGGCTACTGAGCCCTTGAAACATGGCTATTGCCCCACATGGAAATGGGATATGTGGGCTCATATGTTATTTAAGGTGCTCCTTGTATGTTGCTTATTACTTTTTAAATATGTCTAGAGAAAAGTTTGAAATGACATGTGGATTTCATTATATTTCTTTGGGCAGTACTGACCTAAAACACAGAGTCTTAAACCTGAGCATGCCTTAAATTACCCAGAGATCTTATTACAATCCAGATTTTGATTCTATAGGACCGGACTGTCATGAGAATCTGGATTTCTGATACTTTCATATTTCACATTACTTTATCATAGGCACAATTGTTTTTCTATCATTCGAGATATTTATTAGATGACTATATTTGGACTGAGTCTGTGCTCAGTTTTATCATTTTGAGAGTAAACAACAGTCATGGTCTCTGTCTTCATGGATATTATGCCCTAAAGGGGAAAAATATTTTATAAAATAAAAAAACTTAATGTAAAAAGAATGTCAACTATAAGAAGGGCTTGTGATAAATATAGTCATTCATTCTCTATATGGAATTTTACTTAATTGGGGATCCTGGGAAGTTTCTTCAGGAAAATCCTGATTAAGGGAAGAAGAGTAGCTTAAAGTATAAGTGAACGAGATAATTGAGCCTTTATGTAGAGGTGGTTTATGGTCTGTGTATTTGCTGATTTTCCCTATTTCTGTCTTTCCACAGTTGACATGACCAACAATTGACTCCTCATTTCTGCTGACATGTTGTCCTTCCGTTGTGGACCTCTCAGCCAGAATCGGAGGGAGTGTGCTGAGAAATCCAAACATGTAATATGTGTCCTGTGCTCCCCTCGATTCGCCTCTGCTCATCATTATGGGGAAGCGGACTTGGGGACAAGCAAAGAATGAGACCTGGAAAAATAAATAAATAAATAAAATAAATGGGACCTGGGTGTTTGCAAAGAATCTGTCCATCGACAAGGATCAGTTCTACTGTCTTCAGAATCTGGCTTCTGGACTGTGGATTTGAGAAACGAAGAGCTCTTTGCAGTCAAGCACTGCACCTCTCACTACCTTCTTGGCGAGTCCCCAGTTACACTAAGTAGGCATTTTCCTGGATATGGATATTGGAACCATTTCCTTTTATAACATTAGCGGTGGATCCCACGTCTTTACATTCACTCAGGTGTCCGTCTGCTGCAGACCGATTGTGTGCATTTTTTGCTCCTGCAAATTCAGTTAATGACGATCAAGGCCTCCTGAGTATCTGTCCCATGATAAATCTGAGCACTGCCAGATCTCTAATTCATCCTGAGCAAGGCAGATAAACTTTTAGCCATATAACCATGTAGAGAAAATCACTTTGTGCTCGAAGCTAAAAACATTTCTGCTTGGGTCAACACATGGGACAAAGTTACAGCAGAAAAGTATGGAACATTTCATGAATCATGAATATAAATTAAGCAGACATTTCAAATATTTTGGGTGAGGCAATCACATTATATGTAACCAAAATGTTTGTACTCCCATAATATCTGAATAAAACAAAGAAATATCACCTCTCAACACATATACTCTTCTCTTTCTCCGCTCTCCCTCCCTAGTTAATTTCAAATTATTCTTTAAAGTTCATTGCATGTGACCTGAACTTTTTCCAGGAAGCCTTCCATGCCTACCCTCTCCACAGTCTAAGGAATGTCTCAGTTCTTTTAATATCTCCTGTCACTGGTTAATGTTTATTTGTAGTATTTATCAGAGTCTTGTGCTTTACTATTATTGGAGTGACTACTTAGTAAATTTGTCTCTCCCATTGAAACCTAAGTTTCCTGAGAGTGGGGCCTGGGTCTCTTTGGTTGTCTGCTACCCAGAGCTAACCAAGTGCCTTTCCCCTAAGACAGGTTCAAATACTATTTGTTGAATGAATCAAGTAAATGAAAGAGTGTCTTTTCCCGATCCATGGCACAAAAACTTTTTCATTGATTCATTCAAGAAAGTTGAATGTATCAAAGTGCATGAGAATCAAATGATAAATCAGATATAGACTCTTTCCTGGAAGTTCTTAGAGTCTAGTGGGCAATAAAAGATACGCATTCAAATAACAATTATAGGATGGTGTAAGGGAAATGATAAACGTTGTTAGAAAGGTCAAATTTCAGTCCTCCAAAGTTGCCAAAGAAAGGAGACTCTCCATGTGAGAAGAGTTTGGTGGCCTCAATGGCCTAGGCTTGTGTGACACGCAAATTCAGCTGGATTTTAGTCTGTAGTGTCACAGCACGGGTGCTGGGCTTGCAGGCATTTAATCTATCTCTGCAGCTGGCCCCTCTTCTGTGAAAAGGTCAGTTTTCTAGTGGAAAGGGAACCACGTTTTGACACAAGATGTTTTTAGCAGAATACTGTAAGTGTCTTAATATTGAAAAATTTAGAATGGTGAATAAGCACATGGAAAGATGTGCGCCATCATTAACCATCAGGGAAACATAAACTGATTCCACAATGTGATACCACTACACACCAATCAGAATGGATGGCATAAGAAATGACAACACCAAACACTGGTGTGGGTGTGGGGAGTGTGGATACTCACACTGTGCTGGTAGGAATGTGAAATGGTAATGCCACTCTGGAAAACAGACAGTTTTCCGGTTTACACAGTTCATTAAAAAAGTAAAGGTACAACTACTGTGGAATCCAGAAATCACGCTCTTGGGGATTTATTCCAGAGACATGAATACTTATGTTGATTCCACAACCTGCACACAAATGTTTATAGCAGTTTAATTTGCTATAGGACCAAATTGGGAACATCCCTGACATCCTTAAACAGGTGAATGGTTAAACCAACTGAAGTAGGGCCCTGCCATAGGATACTACTAAGCAATTCAAATAAATGAAGTGTAAGTACCTCAGGCCACAATGTGGATGAACGTCCCTTTCTGCTGAATGAAGAAAACAATCCAAATGGTGATAGATGGTATTATTGTTTATAAAAAGATGAAATTACAGAAATGGAGAATAGATAAGTGATTGCCATAAATTATAAATTATAAATCCCTTTGTGTTACCTCTTAACATTGAATGTGAATCTAGATTGATCAAAAATAAAAATGTTTAATTTCGAAAAGATACAAGAAGGTGGCAAAATCAAGGAAGCTAGTATGTCAGTTTGTCAGTTACGGCGTGAGCCTTAGAACCATGACATCACAATGGTCAGTGGTCCTGACGACAGACGAGTCCTCGGGCTTTAACATTTTTCCTTCAAGACTGCTCTCTAGCAGGTGCTGAGCGCTGGAGGGAAAGGTTTGTTCTCATCAATCCAAAAGTGCTCTAAGTATTTAGGGGGTAATCAAGCTCTCACAGCACAAGGTAGTCTTTTAATATACTGTTTTTGGTCATCAAAACAGACTAGTGATCCCAAGAAGTGTTCTATCTTGTTTCCTCTAAAACATGTGAACTACTTCTTAACTTCAGCACTGGCTTCCTGGACAGTCGCTCATACTCATAAGATTTAGTGGTGCTGAGCTCAAGAGAGCAGCCTTCCTGTTCTCAGGGTTAACACTTTCTTGGCTCTGTTGGAGACAGTTTTCTGTATCTGTGAAAATGTCTGCCTATTTTTGAGCATTTCTATGTTCTATTGAAACTAGTTGGTTTCACCTAGTATATGACCACAGAGTCCTGTTGGAGCTTGGTTATAGCTCAACCAAACAATATCTAAGTACTTCTTTTTGATTAGAAACTCTTTGATGTTTCCTATATTATTTGGTGTTCGATAGCAAATTTTGTCCCAAAATTTATTCTTGATTTACATAAGGTAAGAGCCAACTTTCCATATTTATCAGTTATCTGAATTTTGGTGCTAACATGAAAGCAATTTGTAAATATTTCTTCACACATCTCCACGAAATTTTTTAATGTATGTCAAGCTATAACTTGTCCTGTGTTTCCTTTTTCTTTATTACTTGATTTTAGATGCTTGGTGAGTAAAAACTATTAGATTTTATCTGAGGCTTCCTTGCAGAGTGTAGAATTGGGACTTAGGTAAAGAAAGTATGAAGTGATTTAATGGAAACAAACACACTTCATACAGAAGGGTATACATTGATTTAAAACATTATGGAAATATGACTTCTTTTGAAAAATTAGTTTTAACTGTCACTCTTATCAGAATGAACTGGCAGCAGATATCTATGGAGAACTTAAAGTTTGAGAATGCTTTTGCAACCCTACTTCATTTTAAGTTTCATTATAAACTTAGAAATAGATACTATTTTTCCAGGTTACTGTTCTATTTTATTACTGTCATTGACATTTTGCCAGATTACAGACATGGATGATCTAAATTTTTAAATCGTCTATGAGACATATTATGTATACAAGACATTGTATTGTGATTTCAATTATAAGAGTATCTCTAAGGATACTTCCAGCATAGTTCTTGGCTCTTGGCTCCACTCTTTGGGCCTTGGTTCTGCCCTCTGGCCTTTTGTCACTTCTTTCTGTGTCATCCTTTCCTTTCCATGAAAAGTGGCACGTTTACCAACGAGGGGTTGTCTCATTCTGTTTGCTGTCGGTAGGATTTGGGGATCTGATTCTTTTATTGTCAGCTCTTTCTTTATTTTTCAGTCTAGTCTGTCAGATTGTTTCTGCTGATAGAAAAATTCTCAAGAACTTTTGGGTCTTCCAAGGTTGTGACTGGCATTCACTTCACTAGATAGGAGTCAGGTCCCCCAGTTTGTCTGAGATAGTCCCTTGTGTATTTTCGTCTTCTACCAAGGAAAACACCCAGGCTAGAGTGCAGTGGTGTCATCATAGTTCACTGCAACCAAAACCTCCTGGACTCAAGTGATCCTCCTGCCTTTGCCTCTAGAATATCTGAGACTATAGGCATAGCCACCACACCTGGTTAATTTTTTCGTAGAATCATGGTGCCCAGGTTGCTCTCAAACTCCTGGCCCAAGTGATCCTCTCACCTTGGCCTCCCAAAGTGCTGGCTTTTAGGCATGAGCCATCATACCCAGCCATAAAATTCCTGTCTTTCCACAGTTTGTTTAGGCTGATTTAGGTATGGGCTAAGGCAGGTTAGGTTAGTTAGTAATTTTCCGTCTCTCCCATCCATATCTAGGTTTTGTGAGAGTGGAACCTGGGTCCCTTTTGTTGTCTGCTGCCCAGAGCTAACCAAGTGCCTTTCCCCTAGGACAGGTTCAAATACCATTTGTTGAATGAATCAAGTAAATGGAAGAGTTTCTTTTCCCCATCCATGGCAGAAGACTGTTTGATGTATTCATTCAACAAAGTTGAATGTATGAAAGTGTGTGAGAATCAAAAGACAAATCAGATATAGACTCTTTCCTTGAACTTCTTAGTGCCTAGTGGGAAATTAAAGATATGTATGGAAATAGCTACTATAGGATAGTGTAAGGGAAATAATAAACATAGTTAGAAAGGTCTAATTTCAGTCCTACAAAGTTACCAAATAAAGGAGATTCTCCATGTGAGAAGAATGAGGTGGCCTCACTGTCCTAGGCTTGTGTGACACCTTAAGTCAGCTGGATTTGAATGCATAGTGTCACAGCATGGGTGCTGGGCTTGCAGGCATTAAACCTGTCTCTGCAGCTGGACCCTCGCCTGTGAAAGGTCAGTTTTCTAGTGTAAAGGGAACCATGTTTTTAAATGAAATCTTTTTAGCAGAATACTGTAAGTGTCTTAATATTGAAGAATTGAGATGGTGAATTAGCACATGGAAAGATGTCTGGCATCACTAACCACCAGGGAAATGCAAATTCAATCCACAATGAGATACCACTACACACCAGTCAGAATGGCGACATACAAAGATGACAACACCAAATACTGCTGCGGGTGTGGGGAGTGTGGATACTCATACTGTGCTGATAGGAATGTGAAATGGTATCGCCACTCTGGACAACAGACAGTTTTCCAGTTTTCCAGTTCCATAAAAAAGTAAACTACAACTACTGTAGAATCCAGAAATCACGCTCCTTGGGATTTATTCCAGAGACATGAATACTTATGTTGATTCCACAACCTGCACACAAATGTTTATAGCAGCTTTATTCACTATAGGCCCAAACTGGGAACAGTCCTGACATCTTTAAACAGGTGAATGGTTAAACCAACTGAAGTAGGACCCTGCCATAGAATACTACTAAGCAATTCAAATAAATGAAGTGTAAGTACCTCAGGCCACAATGTGGATGAACGTCCCCTTCTGCTGAACGAAGAAAACAATCCAAACGGTGATAGATGGTATGATTCTGTTTATAAAAAGATGAAATTACAGAAATGGAGAACAGATAAGTGGTTGCCATAAATTATAAACGATGTGGAGAAGGGAAAAAGTTGGTGTGGCTGGAGGAGGGGCATTTAAAATCTCCTCGTGCTGATGGAAACGTCCTGTAACTGGATTGTGTCCGGTTAATATCCTGCTTGTGATATTTTACTCTAATTTGGGGAGATATCTTTGAGAGAAGCTGGATTAAAAGTTGATGGAATCTCTTTGTATTAGCTCTTAACACTGAGTGTGAATCTAGAGTGATCAAAAATAAAAACAGTTAATCTCAAAAGGATACAAGAAGGTGGCAAAATCAGGGAAGCCAGTATGTCAGTTTGTCAGTTACTGCGTGAGCCTTAGAACCGTGACATCACAATGGTCAGTGGTCCTGACGACAGACGAGTCCT